AATAATTATCAAAAGCAATATTATTAAAGTTTTAGACCTGAAATATTCTTTATATAGACAAATTCAATCACTAATAGTATACTTGATATTCTGTGTGTAAATGTAATTCAAAATGTAACAAATTATAAATTCATGTACTGCTAAAAAGGGAAATAACAAATTTATAACCTAAGTGTCAAAAATCAGAACATTTATAGCTATTTATAGCTTTCGAATTCATATACAGCAGAACTGCTTTCCGGTTCTCATTCATTAATATGACATGCTGCTGAATCCGATTTATTTTTAGCTGTAAATCGAAGGGATTAATTGATAAAATCCGGGTCAATGGACAAAAAAAAAATAGTAAACACAAAAAGCTTCGCGCCTGTGGGCGCGGAGCAATAACTCAATTTCCGTACAACAAATAATGCCATATCACTAAAACCCGTAATAGTTTGTGTTATCAAATTTTATATAAGTTTTCACCATGTCTGTCTCTCATTGGCCGTCGTGATTGGGATGTTCCTTTTGGATGAAGAATTGGAGTGACACATTATTACTTTTTAACAAGAGACGACAAGTACATGTTTGATGCTAAAGCAACAAGTCGCCGGATAGAAAAATGATTGTATTATCATAAATATAAGAAAATGTCAGTTTAATGGTTCATTATAAAGAAAAGAGGAACAATATGTATAATAAATGTTTATTCACAATAAGACATCATATTTGAAACCTTGTTTAGGCGCAAGTTCGAAACTTGGACACATTCTTTTTGTAATTTTCACAAATTGATCTTTTATTATTTGTTTTAACTACATGATAAATTGATAAATCGTGTCTTTCATTTCTAGCATTTTTTCTAATTTCATAATGTTGATAAATTTTTATTGCAATAAATGGGGGACTTTAGCCAACCATTCAACAAGATACCTGTATGCCTTATAAGCAATTTGTTACTTTAAATTGATTGTATAAAAAAACATACAGTGTGAAGTCACGCGATTCTTACAAAAGAACAAAGAGAAATTGTCTATTGGCGACGCCGGTGAGCGGCGTCGTCTCTTATGGAATGCTTTTTATTTTGGCCTATGGAAGGAGCTGTTATTATTAGCAGTTAATGTCATGTTGTGTTAATTAGTTTTATTTTGATTCGTAAAAATCAAGTAAACAAATATGTTGTTATATTTGTATTTAATAACTTTATGTAAAAAGCATGTGCATTGTGATATTATTTTCACGAAATTGCAGGCTCAGTTTAACAGCTTGTCCCTTAGCTTTATTGGCAATACTAAAACCCGGATTTCGAATATCGTTGTGGTCTACATTGATGCCGTATTCTTTTTCATTCATTTATATATTTTCAAAATTTTCCTACAAGAAGAACGTTCACCTGCAAATGAGTATTAGGATAGGTAATGGAACTGTTGTAAACGATTATCCTATTGATTTTATCCATATTACGTTTATCTATTGCACAGAATGATTGTTTTTACAAAGTGTACCAGTATCCGGATGTTGAAAGCTATCCGATTTTCTGCAATTACTGCTGTCACATGGCCATCTAACTTTTTATGAATACTTTACCATTACTTTGCATGGCTTAATAAAACTGAGCCTGCAACATTTCATAATTTTGCTGTTTAGGGTGTTCTTTTGGGTTTCAGGTTTTCTCTATTTTAAGGGGAAGTAACTCATGTTTACTAAATTATTTGTTCTCTTCTGTCAATCTTAGCTATTATTTACTATTTTTGTTCTATAAAATTTACCAGTTGTAAGGTCATCAAAAGCATAGAGGCCCTGAGGAGTGACTATTGATAGATTTTTTTACTTGCTTTATATACCTTAGACTAGATTTTTTTAGAATGTTCAGTTAGTACATACCTACAGGTATTCTGCTACAGGAATCTTCTAATCACTATGTGAAACTAATTATTATTTTCTTTGTGTTTGTATATAAATTTTTAATAAAATAACCTTTGGTAAAATGAAAGGTAGAAAATTAAAGCTTTGCATATAGGTGCCCATGTCCATATATCAAAACAGAGAAAGGATAACATCCTGAAGTTATCAATTTTAAACACTTGATAAACATGTAACATATAATAATGCTGTTTTAATTATATAGTGAAGTCTAATGATAGGTTAAAAGAGGGACAAAATATGCATTTAATGTTTAGACGCTCGCACAACTCAATCTTTATTATATGATATAGACTACATGTATTTGAGATTGTGTTTACTTTAATACTAAACAATATAGTTTTCTTTCTACAAGATTATCAATTCCATCCAAAAACCAATGTTAATAGGATGTTATATTTATTTTTTAATGGAAACTGGGAATTATTAATGTAATGTGCATACATGTATATCTTAGTATATGGATATAATGTGTATTTCTGTATTTAAAGACTTACAGTTATGATGGATGAGACTTGCATTTAAATTTATAAATGATAATACATGTATCGATTAGTCTACAGGTTATAGATGTTTATACCCAGCTGGCTAATAATAGTATCTATAATAGAGTTTATACATTATAGTTTTCTTTCTACTAGATTTTGAATTCCATCCATTAGTACCAATGTTAATGTTAATGTTAGGATTTCATATTTATTTAATAGAAACTGGGAATTATTAATGTTATGTGCATACATGTATATCTTAGTATATTGATATGATGAGACTTATAATATTTCTGTATATAAAGAGTTACAGTTATGACATTATTATTAAAGGGATGAGACTTTCATTTAAAGTTATAAATGATAATACACGTATTGATTGAAAATTCCCTTAAACTTGGATCAAGCAATATAATTAATAAAGTCTCAAAAAATCATAGTCTGAATAGTTATTCTAATTTTTTTTAACATGTGCATAATTTGAAAAGGACAGCTTCTGTCTAATCTATTTGTAATGGAGGGACACCGGTCTCAACCTCCAGGTCTCCAGAGTCAACAGAGTAGATTGTTACTTGCACTTCATTTTATAGTGGGTGATTTGTGCCACACGAAAACCAAAAAAAAAAAAAAAATACAAAAACTAACCGGGCGCCAGATAAAAACATGAAAATACAAGCTATCAATTTTTCCTAATTTCAATGACTTATTCATAGGGATACATTATTAATTCATTTTATAAAAACTGAAATGTTGCTTTTTGAGATGTCAATATTTGTATATTTCAATTCATTGAGCAACTTTATTATATGTTTGATTTTTTTTAAGATTATGAAAAATAATTTTGGACTTTAGTTGTTCAATAATTGATTCTTTTTTATTTTCACATTGTAAGGCCTTCTTCTACCATAAATATAATATTCTACCGGCGACTAATTATCCATTTTGAATAGCTTACAATGCATATTTTGCTGTCCTCCTTGAATGCCATGATTATTCAAATGTTTATGATAGATTTCATCGCATCAATTCACTTAGAGAATTTTTGCCTCAGTTCTATCCAAAACCCTGATCGAATTTAACCTGTATTCTAAGATTAAATCAACTCACATATACCAAGTCATTTTATATTTCCTTATTATAGTGTTCGGCACGGTAAGACCAGTAGTGTATAACAAGGACACCTGGTACCTGGTTACATAACGTGACGTCAATAGGAGTCAATAGGTCATTACTCATCGAGCAGCTATGGCATAGACCCGGTCATTAGGTCATAAGGGTATATCCATGAGTCAGTCTGATGGGTTACCAAAAAAGTCATTGTTATCCGTACTGACGGCATCCGGCTAGGGGATAGGGCATCGCTTCACAATGAGTCAAATGATGGATCACACGGATTAGGGCAGTCCGCAACTATTGAGTTATATTATGGATCGTATAGACAGGTGTCTGTCAGTCATATGATGATGTTGATATTATTGATTTATAGGTCCTTGAACTTTGACCCTTATGTATGACCTTCTCCTTGGTCGCAGGTTGCTGACCTTAACTGAACGTAAACTTTACGTGGTCCTTTAATTCATTGACTATTATTTTGTAGTCAACCTAACAAGGCATGATAAACATTTTTTTTCTTCAAAAAACTTTTATTTACAATTACTGACCTGTAAACACGAAAAATGCAAACTTATAATCATATACAAAGCTAACTAAGTCACTAAATCAAAGCTGAATAGCATCCACCTAAGGTGGATATCACAAAAAAAAAATATTTGTAGTTCTCATACAAAGATACAATATAAATGATTAACTGTTTTTATTAACTTATCGATCATAAAACAATTATGAATCTTAATTCAAACGGACACTTTTTGCCTATATCTGAACCAACTGATACATTAAATTCAATTAATAAAAACGAATAATTCTTAAGTGTAAATAAGTATTTAACATATAATTAAAAATATACAAACCATTTTTGAATTGTTTACATAGTTATAAATAAGTATTAAAATAGAAATACATGATATATACAATTCAAGTTTAAATTGTGTATCAAAAATAATTAAGTTAGGTATTCTTCTTTTAAGTAAAAAAAATATATATGGCCAATTAGCACGAAGAACGGCCGCTGTGGTGTAGTGGTTAGCATACTGGGACGGCAATCCAGAGACCCGTGGTTCTAGTCCCGTCTGCGGAGTGCCGATTTTTCGTGCGATTTGTCTATGTAAAATTTCCCGCTCATGACTTTCTTTCTTTCATAAATATACATGTATATAATACAATACAAAATAATACAATACAATACAATACACTTCGTTCAGCTTTAAATTTATCATGTTTGAAGCAATAAAAATCAACACAAATACATGAGAAATGGTTTACACCGGGTATATACCGCTGGCAAAAAAATATAATTATAATAACATGAGATTTCATTTTCTATTGTTTCATAGAGTTACAATTACACTCAAAATAAAGTATAAGGCTGGATTATATTGTTCGATGCAGTATAACAAGTAATGGAACAGTGTTGCCGTAAAACCCAAACAAACAAACAAACAAACACACATTTTTTCCTGACAAGTTAGTCATTTTAATAGTTTGGTGTTATATATGTGTCTTACCATTTTCAGACAGTTTAATGAAGGAAATAAGTGTCACTTTTTTATTTTGTCCTTTTTTGAATAATCTAGATACTACAACAGTTACTATAAGCAAAGCAAAATTGACCAGTCCCATCACAAAGAAGGTGATACCCGGGTAAAGAGACACAGTTTCTCTGTATAGTCCCAGGTATGCTATAGATCCAATGAGTTTTGCAGCAATTTCAATAATAGCATAAATGGCAAAGAATTTCCCTAGATCCTCTTCTCCTATGATTTTGCTCACAATGGATTTGATGCAAATGATAAATGAACCACCAGAGCCGATTACGTCATAGACGAATATAGTCCAAGTTTCTGTGCTAAATCCTAATCCTAAGCACGCGTATCGAATTACCCTACAAGATAATCCTATCATTACAAGATATATATCAGATAGTTTCAATATCTTTGATAGGAACGGGAGAATTACCAATAGCGACACGCCTACTGAGACGTTATGAGAAGACACAAAATATGAGTATAAAGATTTTTCCCAATTGTAAGGACTTCTACTAACAAACAGAAGCAGTATGTCAGTATATCCAGTGACGTCACAACCACTTACGAATGTAATAGACAAAAGAATAATGATACAAATGTTAATGAAACCTGTTCTTTTTCTTGTAAATACGTCGAAATACGTTTTAAATCTCTCGAAAGTTCCGTATATGAGGGGATGTTTGTCTGCATTATTGTCACTTAAAATATTTCTTGTTGCAGATTTGCTGCTTGATTCACAATCAGCACAACTCTTTGAAATTTCAGAAGAGTCAGAAACTTTGCCTGTCGTCCGATGCTTGGTCTCCTTGATAAAAACTAGTATGATAATGACAGTAACACAATTGATTCCAATGACAGTAAAATATGGAACTAATTTCCAGCCGATAATTCCTGCCAAGAAGGCACCAAAGCAATTTCCGAAAAAGTTCATTGAAGATAACATACTCATGTGTTTTGTAATATTCTTAGCATCTGATATTTCTACTATAAAGCAGTTGACAGTCATTGATATAACTTTCCCCGAAAGACCCTGAAAGAAAGTACCTGCAAGTATGATCCAAACTGCGAGTGTGGGGTGTCCAATATACATACTGCCTATATAAAATGGTACAGATAATGTCAATCCAATGCACGAAAATATCATCGACAATCTGCGACCATTTTTGTCACTCCAGGCTCCTAGAAGTGGACACGTTACAAAGGCTGGAACGTTTGCGGCAATCTGATAGATGAAGAAATAAATGCTTGCTTCCTTTTGAACACTGTCTTTATGTTCTGGATAATTATGAAGATTCAAGCATAATGTTTCATTTCCATATAAATGCATCTTGCATACAGCGTCTAGTAAATACGGTCTAACGGTGGTGTCCAATAACATTATCCCAGTTTTGAAAAGAAATAAAATCGTTCCGATAAAAATCAGTTGCATATTGTCCAATTGATCTGATGTAAAATGAAGGTTAAAATGTATTCTGCAGCTAAAACAAATGTTGTTCAAAAGTTGCTCTGGCTTTTATTTCAAGTGATTAATATATATACATTCAAATTCAAAGTGATATACGTACATTTAAATATTGCACATAATGAATTGTTAATTAAAATAGAGTTTAAGCCAGATAAATGAGTCTGCCTGTAAACTGCATTAAAGTTTATCACTTGTAAGATGTATTTCCCAATAAGGTTATTCCGACAATAAAAAGGTAAAACGTTTAAACGCATGATTTTTTTTTAATAAAAACTATTAACAGTAAAATAATATAGTTTTTATAATCCTATGGTCGATTCTCAAAAGAGTTTTAACATATTGCGTCAGAGCTTTTATAAATTACATAAATACGAGAATGATCAAAAATAAATCAACCTATCACTAATTGTTATATATCACACTTAATATATGTAAACTGAGCTATATCTAATATGATAACGCAAATAGCTTGTACGCAACAACGAATTTAATCAAAGGGCTAAAAGCTCTGTGGTATTTTCTGATCTTTGCTATCTATATCGTACTCTATATCTGTATGTCTGTATGCTTTTTCCTGTATAAGTTTATTTTTATATACTATAATTCATCTTGCAGGACACCGAGATGCAGCGACTGCGTTTAGATTTTTTACTATAACAGTTTGAGTTTGATATATACGGAATTTTGCATGACTAGAGTTGCATGAAAAACTCATTTATGTTCATTTTTTATGACAGCCACATTTTATCCTTCGATATCGTGGCTACTTCCTTTAAAAAGTCACTTAAAAACAAAAAAAAGTTGCCTCGACTAGGATTTGAACTCCATACCTCTCACTCCCTAAGCCAGCGCGTTACCCCTGCGCCACGGGAAATTACAAAAGCCTGAATAAAATCAAATAATTCTAAATTTGGAATTTCCATTTCGGGTTTGTAATCCTTATTAATTTCGAGGTATTTTTTTCATGATAAACCTTTTGTTTAACACTGATGTAAATAATTTAACGGAAAATCTTCTCGCCAAAACAGTCCGACATGTATATATTCCACTACTCGACAGTTAGATTTATTTGTAGCATTCGGTAATCGACATCACTAAAATAGTATTTCCACTAATAAAATGATATTCATCCGGGCAATTTGTGATTGTATATTTATTGACAATTTGATAAGCCAACGCTACTTTTAAACTTTTAATGCGCTGTAATTTGTTGGATACATGTAACGAAATAAAAATATTTCTTTATTTCTTTCAGCTTGTTTAAGCTGTTTTGAGAACTACTTGTTGTTAGGTTTGTCGTGAAATTCTGTGTCAGAAATTGAATGTCAGCATTGTAGTTCCTGATCTGTGCTGAAGCACTGCAGTTGGGACGTACTTGAAGGATCAAAATTACCATTTTTACTATTTCGGGGGCAGATAATTCAATGAGTGAATGAGTGAATTATAAATATAAAGTGCACAATTCAGTAATGAAAAGAAGTTGATACAATTATTCTATGACATACATGTTCAAATATATTTTGGTTACATGAACATGTATGTCCATCACAAACTGTTATTGGCCCTTTTTGACAAGAGCAACAAGTGAAATAAGAGCTGCCAGAGGAAATTGCAAGCTCTACTACTTTTTACACATGGCAAAATAAAGGGAGACAAAATTATGAAAAAAATAATCAATTATGATATAAATATATTTCTGTATCAGTATCAAGAAAACAATCAAATGGTTAATATTTTTGCATCACATTTTATGAATGTGGTCATGTCATTAAAACTGATGATGGCTTTTGTACACTGCACTTCTCATGCTCATCTCTTTCACTGTGTGGTAGTTTCAATCAAATTCCTTCAATATTTTAATCCTCTCTCTGAACAAGTATCATGAAATAATATAAACGGAGATAATTCAAGAACAAAGTAATGTAGAATTTGGGTAATTTAACACAGCACTTCTGCTCATTAGTCCCTACAACTGTGTTTAGTGAGTGAGATATCATTGAAAAGATATACTCCAGACAACAAATATTTTAAATGTTGATGTATTATAGGAGATGCTAATTGTAAAATTAAGCTAGGAAAAATTATGTTTCTATGAAACTACACTTCCTGTCACTTGAATGTTTTCGCTGTGTAAAATTTTGATCAAATTCTATCAACTCTTTTCAAGTATTTCTTTGGACAAGCATTATTAAGTACATGTTCTATAAAAGGAGATAATTTAAAAACTAAGGAATGTAGTTATGCTTCTTTGACACTTTGACAAATTCGACTATGTATAACTGTGTGTAATTTCAGTGATAGTTTGGACGTAAAACTCCAAATAAGCATGTTTAACTTAAGGGACATGATTTAAACATTAAGCAAGGTAAAGTTATGTTTCTTGAACACTGCACCTCCTCTCAAAAGTCTCCATCACTCTGTGAACCATCAATACGTATCTAGTTATATTCATATTCCGAACAAGAGTGTGAAGGACGGACGTCTTTCCTAAGTTCACAATGATGGTTTTTTCTTTAATCATCTAAAATCTCAAAAACACCATAGGAAGCATACATTTAGTTTTCTCCCATGGGCAACCTTTTTCCCCACATGTAAAAGTCTGAACGGAAGGAGCACGGATATTTATCCACAATATTACTGGAGTCCATACAAACAGATGGTTAAGGCAGCAACTGTATTCTCTACCTTTTGGTAGCATTAATTATAATAACATGCTAACTCTCCGTATAGTACCAGTATGATGAACCTTGCTTTTGTACCTTTTGAGTAATAGCAGAATTCAGATTTCATTGACATAAAGAAAGGAGTGAGCCTTTAGTCCCCTCTTGGTGAAAACAGAAGGGGACTAAAAACAACAATTTATTCTAGTTTCAATTCTCAGGTTTATTACTATTCATTAAACCAGGCAAGCTTAGATACATGTAATAACTTATACAGCATGCTAGCTCTGAATGTATGTCATTGCTAAACATTACACAATAATTTGATAAATTGGAATGTGCAGTCATATGTTACACAAGTCCCAGGGAAGCTTTTGGGGATATCAGTCAAAATTAAGTTTAATCGGTATATCAAAGTTACCAACTATCCTGACATCCTGACAAATGGAGTCAGTTAGTTCATTTTAAAACAAACAAAAAATATCAGTAACTTTGTATATATGGAGATAATAAGTTATATAGCAGGTACAAAAGCAAAGACATAGATATTATCTAGATGTTATCTTCATCTCTGACGCCATTTAAAATAGAGAAATAAAGAATCCCTAAAGAACGTACAAAACGATAAAATTGAAAATGTTGCAGACTCAGTATGATTGAGCCTGTTCATGGACGGTAATGGAATGTACAATATAAACGTCGCCCCCGAGCACCGGCTTAAGCAGTATTCAACATTTTACATGAACTGGTAAAATTTGGAATTTTGAAACATCCGCTGATGTGTTCATATGGCGGTTATCATGGAACCTTCAATGTGACACGTTAGTGCCATTCCATGAAAAGCACCCTATGGTCCTCAAGTAAAAAAAATGCGTTTGTCCTAAACGAGAAAACAATGGGCGTAACTAAATAAAATGGAATTTTAATTGGGGATCAGAGGTTATGAAGCCTGACTATACCACAATGCATTAAAAAAGGAAAAAGTTTAAACAAATACTAATCCTTCCTTCATTACTTTTATGTCAATTCATAATCACATAATATATTATAAGGTCTGATATGACATTTTTGTTCGTTCTTAGCATACGAGTGTCAATAAAATGCTGCAGTAGAAGAAAGAACTTTCAAATAAAATGAGAGAATATGCAATGAATATTTTATGTGAAATTATCCTACCTAATCATTTCATTTCAATGAACTAAAGTTAAATATTTAGATTCATCTGCTTCTATAACATGCCTGATCACGGTTTTAATTTAAAACTGAGGTCTCACCGTCTGGTGTATGTGAAACTTATTTGGGAGTGAACAATATTGCGTTTTATCACGAAACATATCTAATGTACAAATATACATCATGTACATATATTCAAATATCATACTTTAGAGTTCCGCAAGGCCAATTTTCTCATTCAATTGTAACAATTTATGCACAAATACATTATATATAAGTGATTTCGCACATAAAACCCTAAAAACATTTGTAATTGTTTCTGTGTTAATGATATAATTTTACTATTTATATGTTCCGCTACTTCAATTTTAACTATCTTTGAATTTGTAAACTAAAATGATTTTTTGTCAGAAACATCTTCCTTGAAGGTAACGAGAAATATAACAAGATCTTTGCCATACGTTTTATTCAAAATTAATGCATGAATGCAGTTAGTTGTTACTTTTTTTAAATACCATAATACGTACATTGAACTATCCAAGAAAAGCATTTAAATTTTATACATACCCTTACTTACACTCCTCTGTCAAATCAATCATAAAAAGCATCTTGGTTAGGTTTTCAACACACACACTTAATTATTTCTATGTCTGTCTGATTCTTGACTTTTCACTTAAAAAATCAATGAAATAATAATTTTCTTAATTTAAAACGCTCGATTATCGATGTATATGGGTCTACAGACAAAACTACTGAATGATGTCATAATTCAAAATTTCTTTTGCTTTTTATTTACAAACGGTTCTCAAATGAATTTTTGATTACGAATAAATTAATTCATTTTATCCTTTCATATCATGTTCATAATTACATTCGTATTTTTCACATTCGAGTTGCATGACAATCTCCACGCAGTGATCACCCCTTAAGAGAAACGGATTTATACCATCGATATTTCAAAGACAGATTTAAACGATAGAGGCGAATACAGAGTAAATTGCGGTAACACAGTGTCGAATTCAGTATATTTGAATATTGGTAACTTTGTTATGTTGCTATAACATTATTCTTAAGATAAAT